AAGATCTTTCTCTCTCTGGCTTTCCTTCTCTTCATAAGTCTGCCTTTCCAATAAAAATAACTAAATCTTAAAAAAAAATCAGTGGAAAAGTCAATGCTGTTTTACTTACCAACTGGCACAGTGTACTTTGTTTTAAGATAAAATTTGTTGCTGTCAAGGGTGTGATTGAGCACACTCATACCATGAGGCAAGAGTTAAAAATGGTAAAGCCATACTGGTAAACATCTGGAGTTGAGTATCAGGAACCATTACAAAGAACAGGCATTTAGCCGAGTAGTTAAGACACCGGTTCCTGTAGCAGAGGACCGGGTTTGTGACCCAGAACCAAATCCCAACTCCAACTTGTTGTTAATGTAGACCATGGGAAGTAGTGGTACTGGTTGAAGCAACTGGACTGCTGAGTTGGTGACACCCACATAGGGGGCCTGGGTTGAGCTCCTGCCTCCCAGTTGCAGCACAGCTCAGCCCTGGCCAGGTCCCTGCCAAGGAGAGAGCGTCTGAGGAGTGAATCAGCAGATAGAAGCTTTCTCCATCTGCCTCTGGATCTCTGCTTCTTAAATAAATAAATAAATAAATAAATAAATAAATAAATAGGTTTTAAAAAAAAAACAGAGCTAGTACAAATATTTATATTGATCCAGTTTATTTCCTTTTCCCCTTAAACATTGTTTATTCACTTCTTGGAACTGATTCTAAGTAAAATATAGATTATCAGAAGTTCAGAGATTGATGTATAAGAATATCAATTTCTATATTAGTCATCATAGCAAAAAACCTGGAAATTACCTAAAATTCAACACTTAGGGAATGGGTAAAATAAGTTATGCTAAAATCATCAAATGGAATCATTTCCTACCATTGAAAAATCATATTTAATAAATATTTAATGACATCAGATGTGCTTGCAAAATAATGCTAAATGAAAACAGCAGATTGAGAAGCTGATTTAAATTTTATTTAGAACATGTAAGCATAAAAACAAACCAAAAGTAACATATGAGAAAGTGAACAGCTATTACCTCTATGTGATTTTTAAATTTTTCTCAGATTTTCTAAATTCTTACAAATGTGCAATATGTAGATTAAAATGTATGTTTATCAGGAGAACGTGTCTCCTGCTCACAGTGCTGTAAGGTGGTCTCTGGTGTTTCTCTACCACAGGTAAGTGGCATCATTGGAGTCTTGAGATTCAGAATCTCCCAGAGTTACTCAATAGTAGAATCTCACAGTTGAAGGTGATCCTGCACATCTAGTCCAGTGATTCCTAACCTTGAATATTCAGCTGAGAGCCAGGGTTGGACCAGGCCCCTGGGTTTCCCACTCAGCACGCCAACACTAGGGGCTTAGTAGCAATGCTAAGGTGCTGGTGCTGCTGCAAGGGTCCAGGGCCCACGCTGAGAGAAGTACTGACTATTTCAACTTCCTGATGTATCAGTAAATCCTGTACTTCAATCCCTCACAAAACCTGACTGTCCAGCCCTGTTTGCAGGCCTCTGAGGACAAGAAACACTCTCAGGAGCCAGGCCCTTCTAAGAATCCAGAGAAGACAGACATAGCAGAGTCCCAAACCACGGGCTCACTCTGCCATCCTGCTCCAGGGCTGTTGGAAGCAGCAACAGCTCCTTAACTTCTTCATATGTCACAGAGACGATTTCTGACTGTGCCCTTCTACAAGTCTGCAGCTGAAATGAGAACTACCTTGGACACATTCTCCACTTGGTTTGGGGAGGAGCTCGTAGTTACTGGCTGCTTTTTAGGCAGAATCTCAAAATCATTTACCTGAATCTCAAAATCATTTAGGTAGAGGTTGCCTCAGGTTTTTTCATCCCTTGCAGTAATGGGAATGTGTTGATTTGCAGAAAATGCCCTCCTCCAAACGAAATCAGCCCGTTTCACTAGTCAGGTTTACAACTGGGCTAATTGCAGAAACGGAAAGAGAGAACACCTTCCCTTCACAAGTTCACTCCCCAAATGCCCACAGAAGGCCGGGCTCTGCAAGGTGCAAGCTGGGAACCAAGAACTCAATCCAGATCTCCAAGTGAGTGGCAGAAAGCCAATACTTGAGACATCATTGGCCTGCATTAGCAGTCACAGAGTTGGCAGCCAGAACCAAGTTTTAAACTCAAATTGTCTGCTATAGGACAAAGCATCTTAACTTGGCCAATCACCTCACAAATATTATCCTGTTTTCAAGGGGAAACCATACAGTAGTTCTATGGATTTTGAACTACCACGTAAGAATCTATTATATCAATTCTTTCTGTAATAGAGCAGAAAATTGAACATGCAGCAATGTCCTTAGTGCTTGTTAAGAGTTGTGAATTTTATGAATGATTTTTAAGAAAATCATGGAGACTTCAGGGATCTTCCTTGCCTGCCCAGTTATCAGAGATGTTCTGGCATGCTCTTTCCCTCAGGGGCTAACCAGGTGATTTTAGCCAATACCAGTGCCTCCTAAAGTGGGATCCTAACTGTTTTACTCAATAATCCTTCCAAGTTGGGGATAAAGGGCGAGCATCTCTTTGATGTGAAATGAGGATATGATCTCATGCTTCTCTCAGTTATCTGTAGTAACAGAATCCGCAAAGCTGACCAAAATGTCATGTGACTCAGCAACTCCAAACACATTACCCCATCAAGACCTTGGTCAAAACTGCTGAAAAAACAAATAAGATGGATTTGAATTTCACTTCCTCCTCCTAGCCCTGGAGGTACTGCCAAAAGATTTCCCACATTTCATTGGGGGAAGAAAAAAAAGAGAAGCAAGGGTCTTCCGTCATCTCACAAAGCATAGGAGGCAGGCATTTGGTCTAGTAGTAAAGAGGTCCACATCTCATATCAGAGTGCTTGGGTTCAAAGCCTGCATTTGGCCTGATTCCAGCTTCCTGCAAGTACAGACCTGGGGAGGCAACAATGATGGTTCAAGTCCTTGGATCCTTGCCAATCATGTGGGTGACCTGGATTGAGTTCCTGGCTCCTGGCTTCTACCCACCCTGACCTGGCTGTTGCTGGCATTTGGAGAGAGCTAATTACTGAGTGAGACTATCTCTCTCTCTCTCTCTCTTTGCCTATAAATAAATAAACAAATAATTTTACATATGGACTCTCAGTGCAAACTGTAGGCTCTTGAATGCCTATCTCCACTGCCAGGATGCACTCTGTCGCTACTTCCATGGCATGGACTCTGAACAGGCACTGTGCTGGCTCCGGGAGTGCCCAGATGTGCAACCTGAAGTGTTTTCCCTCAGGAGTAAGAGAAGGCTTCCCATGTGGGAGTGAATCAGAGCATGCTCAAGTGTGTGCACAGACACGTGTCATCACAGTCCCCTGTCTTTGTCTCACCCCATGAATTCTGGAGTAAACATAGTGGTCATAGGAAGGGGACGCGCAGCACAAAATAATGCTTTGTGTGTTCTTGGTTTGTGCTTCTGATACCTGCGACATAAATAAACAGATAAATGTCACTCCCCTTCTAGGTCTCTGGTCTGGCAGAAGCCAACACAGGGCTCATTTCTGCCATTGGGCCATGTTTTCCATTTCCTGCAGCCTTCTAACTGCAACTCTGGCATACAGTAGCACCTCTTGGCCAGCACCTCCAAGCTTGCCCTGACAACAGCTATTGAAATTTCCCTCAAACTCCTTGTTATCATGATTTTTCCAACTTAAAAGACTGTCTTCACTTTTAGCATGATTCTTTATCACTTCTCATGAAACCACTCTTGCCCACGAATCCTCTACTCAGCAGCTTCTCTTTCTATTTTCACCAACATATTCCCTTCCCTTCCTTCCCATCTTACCTGTTCCCATCAGATTTGTCCTACTCCTTACCTAACTTCTTTTGGACATCATTTGGTTTACCCTACATTAGTTTAAACATTTTCATGAATCACTGTGAAGAGTTCTTCTGTTGTTCTCTGTGATCATGCCATCATCTCCAAAAATGTGCTAAAAACCAGAAAAATGGGTTCAGAGATTCTGGATTTTTTTTTTTTTACATCTGTCTCTCTGTTTCCCCTCTGATGTAATTAGTCTTTAGCTAACCACTGCTTTTCATTTTGCAGTTCACAATGAGTTGTCGTTGACAGTCTATCATTTGTTCTCTTTGAGAAGTTAAGACAAATGTTATCATGCTAATTTTAGACTCCCCAAAATTTTGTAGAAAAAAAGGAGGAGTTCTGAAACTCAAACTCTGGTCTTTGGAGACTCAGATCCAGGTCTTTTGATTCCTAAATGCCTTCTGTTCCCACATTACCTTCCTGTACTGAACACAGGCACACCTGCCACCCTGGATACATTTTGTGGACAGACTGATAATGTGGATGACTAAGGTGACAGTGTCACAAAGTTATATTCAAACGGGGTTTAAGCATATTGAAGCCGTTGCCTAGGGAAAAGGTGGTGAAGAGAGGCACAAATGAGAATTGGCTTAAAGTTTATAAGAAAAAAAAAAAACATTTAGAAACCACATGTATACTTATATAGATGTATGTATGTATATGTCTACGTTCTTCTAGAAGAGCATAGGGTCCTCCTGAAATGCTAGTAAGAAAACAGGAGCAGCAGAGGCTGGAATCCCAAGAAACCAGCTGCTCTGTCTCTCTGTGTCCACTTAGGCTAACCTGAGAACTGAGAGAGCATCGGGCTCCCTTTCCCTGCCCCATTCTTCGGAGGGGTTGAATGAGAAGGTCCCTGAGGTCTCTCCTCCGGCTGTGACATTCTGAGTCTATGAATAGCAAGGACACAAGACAGGTGCGAGGGGCTCACCACCCGTGGGAAGCTCACACCTGTCTCTCCCCAGTGTTTCCGCCCCTCACTTCTAGCAGTGCCAACCTCCAGGCCCAGTCAGGGTCCAGTTGCCAGTTCGGTAGCCTTTCAAGGACAGCTGTTTTGCACAGGGTTCCTTCCAGGCCCAAGCCTTCTTTCCTCACTTTGCAACTCACTTTCCCTTAGGCTACTGAGATTTGCATACCACTAATTCACTTCTGCATTTCTGCTTTTAGATTAAAATTACGCACAAGAACCAAGCACCCATGATGATGGGGCCTCCCCAGAAGAGCAGCTTCTTTTCTCTGAGAAGGAAGAGTCGCTCCAAAGACTAATCCGTATGCCAGATGCCAGCTAATCCGGGAGGAAAAAAAAGTAACTGTAATTAAACACACACACACACACACACACACACACACACACACACACACACACACAATCCATTGGAAGTAAAGCCACCCTGCAGGAAGAAAACGTCACCTTACCATGCATTCTACATATTTTAATTGTGGATGTGCCATTGCCAATAGAACTTTTTGAGTGGACTCCCAGGGCGTGGCTGGCTTATGCAGCCGCTTCCACATTCCTACAGACCTTGAATCAACGCTCTGAAACTGAAGAGGAAGTCTCCCTTGCCTTCTGCCAGCCCTGCAAGTTGTCCTCACAGGTGCTTGTGAGGGGCAGCCTGCAGCTTTCCCGACCTATGGCGAGATCGGATGTGGTCAGGGGCCAGGGTTGCGCTTGCACAGAACTTGCACAAAGGCCCCTCTGTCCAGAGTCGAGCCAGCCTCCAGCTCTCAGCTCCTCATCCTTGGCAGGGCTCAGCAAGCATCCCGTGGTTTCTTGGGGAGCTTTTAAGCGACCACTTCTCTGTGGACTTGCTGAGGAGGCAGAGAGGCCGTGGAAAGCTGTGTTTGCATGCCTGGTCATCTGTGCTGTCACCAGGTGCTTGTTATCTCCCTCGCTCCCACCCTCCAAGCCTTGTCTGGAGGCTGTGTGTGTGTGTGTGTGTGTGTGTGTGTTTGAAGCCGGCTGTAAGAGCCCCCAGAACTGCCTGTGCAGGGCACCTCAGATGTGGTGTTTATTTTCTTAGTCCTGTGAACACCTGGGAGGGAAAGCAGAGAAACTGGGATTTATTTTTCAAACCGTGTCATAATATTGTGTAAAAGGGGAAGAGAGAGAAAAATACCACCCCCAGCTTCTTTCTTTTTCAAGCCAAAGCGTGTTTCCTGTTGGAGTTCCAAGCCCTGGTGGCAGACCGTTGCCCAGGCAGAGGAGACACACAGGAAGGGACTTTGCTGGGAAAACCCAGAGACCACGCATCAGATGGGGGGCTCCTCTTGCTTCTTTGCACTGCCACTCTCAGAGTGGGACCCACGGCTCCTTCTGATGGGCTAACGTGTGTACATATGTAGCATATATATTTATACATATAAATATTTATTTACTGATGGACTTTTCCAGACTGGGGGGAAAAACTTGGTAATATGGGAACAGTATATGGGAAAGGAAAGAAGATTCTTACGTCCCCTCTCCTCATCACCATTTCATTGGCAAGACATTTCCCTGTGGTGAGCATAGGGTTTAAGGAAAATGGAAGCAATCCCTTATCGTAAAGAGAGGGAGAACTTGTAGTCTAAATCCTCGAACAACTATGAAGTGTATGTTGGGCAGGATTTACCGCTCTCCCACTTATCAGATAAGGAAGCTGAATCTGAGAAAGTGAGAGGCTTGTCCAGGTACCTTGGCTCTTGTGGTCTGAGAGTAGGTGTCACCAAGAAGATGTTTCATAAAGAGAAGAACTCGTACAACTTGTGGCAGGTCATTTTTGGTTGCTGAGAAATGCACTTGGACCCAGGTTTCCAGGGAAGGAGGAAGATAAAGCACATATATAAATGGGATGAGCCCTTAGCTCCGTCCTGCAGTTTGCGTTTGCTCTGCACTAGAGATCAGCCTGGGGTCATTACGTTGAACTCTTCATGTGTCACTCACCGTGGTCATCACATGGGAACACTCCTGGCTTCAGGGATGACCTCAGTGGAGAGTCACCAGGAGGATGGAGACAGCTTCCACAAGGTACCAGCAGCCAGGACAACAGAGGTCTCGGCAGAGCTCATTCAGCCCACGCCAGTGTTCACCTTCCTTTCCCAAGGACAAGCCTGTGCATAGAGCTTCATTGGTAGAAAGCAATCTTGTTGCCTCAGCCCCTTTGCTCACAATGGGTCTCCATCTCTCACCTAAGTGTCTCAGGAGGAAATGCCAGCCCCCTTGATGTCACTCCACAGCATTGCATCTAATTTCCCTGCATTGGTCCCAAACTCCAAACAAGGCAGGGAACATTCAGATTGTGTGCGCAAGCCGAGCTTGCCTCTGAAGGAAAGGATCACCCAGGATCACCAAGGACTGAGGTCTAGAATCATCCTGTGTGACCTAACAGTGCATGACAGTAGGCAAGGGGAAAACCAGTCCACATGAAAAACATTCTGGTGGGATCCTTGCTGAAAGCACCAAAATGTTTCAGAATGACTACAGGTACTGTCTTAGAAGCCACTTAATTCTGAAACTGAGGCAGACTCAGATTTGGAACCATTAATTCTCAGGCATGTCCAGAGGGTTTTGTATGGGTTTCAGTTCTGATTCCTCAGGTTTGAGAACTGACATTATCAACAGGTGAAACTGAGTCTCTATCCACAAATCTCACCAAGGGGCCGTGCAGAGACCAGGCCCCTATGAGCCAGGGCACAGGACTTGGCAATGTTGCTTGAGAAACATGTCCCACATCCTCCTTGGACTCACGGGCTGTGACAAACTCTGGTGGAATTGCACTTCCGTTTTAATATCTTCAGTAAGTCTTATATTATTGTTGAATCTTACTTGCAAATCACCCTGAGACTCAGTGACTGTGGTTTCTTGTTGTAGAAGACCTTATCAGATCGATCCTCACAGCAACCTCTCTGAAGTTAATAGAGAGGGGACCGTCCCAGTCTGACTGAGGAGTGGGATTTAGTGAGGTTTAGTGATTCCTCAAAGCCACCTAGTTAGACAGGGAATACCCAGCCTCTTACTTCTTGTTTGATCCTGATTCTGACCATGCTATTGACATGTTCTCACCTGCCCCCACACTTTACCCCACTAGTAATAAAAAAAAAAAAAGAAACAAAATCTTCAAGTGCATTGTGTTATCCCTGGGTTAATGGGTTAGGGGTTGCATCTCATTATAACTTGGTCGCCTTGGGGTTTCCCCAGTGAGTTGAGAGTGGAGCTCGACTTAGGATGATGATATTCAGGTCAGAGACCAGCTCCTCTCAAGAGAGTTTTTTACACAGATGGAAAAGATATGTTGAAATTGCCAAATAAATTAGGAAATACTTGGCAGAACCTGGAAGAGCCTCCAGACTGGCGTTACATAACATGCATATACATTATACATATGCACATTATATAAGGTGACATAGTTCTTAATGTGCTGTATATATTATGTAAATTACATATTTGTGAGTAATCATGATAAATATAGAGACCCACTAATCACTTTCTTACACACACCCAGTGACAGATTAGGAAGTTGCTTTGCCAGAGAGACTTAAAACTTACTCTCTTCTGCTGCTTTGGTTCCAACTCCTGCCAAAAATAATTGCATCAATTTTTCCTATCTCTAGCCCCCTCTCCTTTTGGCCCAGACTCTCAAGTTACCTCCTGTCCCAGCTAGGCTGTGCCTTCCGTGCAACACTACCACTAGCAGGATCCATAAAAATAGAGCCCGTGGAAGAGAAGGATCTAGACTCCCGGGGTCTCTCTGTCACAGGCCTGAGTCTCAACACTCGCAGGCAGGAAAGAGCCTCCTGCCAACATTAAGGGAAAAGAAGAGTGGGGAGGGGAGGAATGAAGAAGCATCACCAACCATCCAAGGAAGGAAATTTCATAGTCTTCTTGGCCACCAGTCCCAGGATGCAACAGGGACCCATCAGAAAACTATTATGAAGCTCTGGCACCAAGTCTGCATGGTATATCTGAAGCTATATTTCCTAAAATGCGTCTCACAAAACAATATTCATAAAATGCCTCACCCCCACCCCAACAAAAGAGCTCTGTGGTCCAGTCCTAGATCCCTCCTAGGGAATGTCTAGAGAAGCTCCGAGAATTTATAGGAGAAAGTCACAGACTCCTTCATTTGCCTGGCATTGTCTACAGAGTACACACATGGTTGCCTGAAGTCCAGCATTTCCTGATTGATGTTGTTTGTTCTCACTGGAGATGGGAACATGTAAATAACCCTCTCCTGTAATGATAGCCCCAAAAGTCCTCTTTTAAGAGTTTCCATGTGCTGATTTTTAGCAAAAGATTTATTGATTTAGAATAATGACAGGAGAGAAAGAGAGAGATGAGAAAGAGAACAAGACAGCTTGTATCTGCTGGTTCACTCCCCACACTCCCACAACAGCCAGACCAAAGCCAGGAATTATGAACCCTATCCAAAGACCTAAACCATTATCTGCTGCCTTCCAAGGTGTGTGTTAGCAAGAAGCCAGAATCAGAAGCAGAGACAGAACCTGACTCTAGGTACACCTCTAGAGAACAGCCTAGCCCGTTGTACCACAACACCCACCTCTGCTAATTGCTTTAAAACAGCATTTCTTGTGTACTTTGTGTACTTTATTTTCTTACAAAAAATAGCATAATACTGAAAAAAGATATTTGTAGATGCATGGATACTGACTAGTAAGACCAGAATTGTATATACAGGCAGGATTAACCTAATTCACTGGAGCTTTGGCAGTTAAAGCAATGGGGTCAAATATTAAAGATCAAAAAAGTGTAATGACAGCCTAGAGACTAAAGTCCTCATCTTGCATGCTCCAGGATCCCATATGGGTGTCAGTTCATATCCCAGAACCTCTACTTCCCTTTCAGCTCTATGCTTGTGTCCTGGGAAAGCAAGGAAAGCAGTCGAGAACCCTGCACTCACGTGGGAGATCCGGAACAAACTTAGACTCCTGGCTTCGGATTAGCTCAGCTCTAGTCTTTGCAGCCATTTGGAGAGTGAACCAGCAGACTGATGAGCTTGCTCTCTGTCTCTCCTTCTCTCTGTAAATCTGCCTTTCCAATAAAAATAAATAATTTTAAACAATCAGAAGAGATTTTTCTATTGCTCTTGGGGTCTGTACTAGCCATTTGGAAATCTCCTAGTTGTAAGTATCAGAGTTGTAACAGCAGGGAAAATTAAATTATTCCATATCTCAAATCTCAAGCAAGTTTTAACTAAAATGGGAGAGTGAAATTGTATAAATTTTCTTATTGAATTCTTATTGCTAACTCAATTGATTTTTTACTGCATTGGCATGGACCTTTTCATTTTCTAACACGGAGACAAAACAGAAAAG